TTGTGTTTCTCAACCGCCAGATACATTTAAAAAGGTTGCTAACGGTTTAAACTACAAAATAAAGCTGAAATAAAGTAATTTTGAGAGGAACGCCAAAAAGATTTTAGGTTTTGAACACTTTTCAAATTATCATTATTATTATAACTTTTCGAAATTTTCTAGAACTGATTGGAGATCATACTTTGATGTTTATATTAGCCGTGCTGAAAAACCTGGTAAGTGTATACTTAGTTACAAACTATATATACTGATTGACTGGGACCAAGGCCAAGGGAATGCGGAATTGTGGACTTTAGTCTGCCAATAAACTTGTGTGGTAATAATTTTACTTTATAACTTTCAGGATTTTTCCGAGACAAACGTCCATTTTTAGAAGTTGGTAAGTGAGATGACTGTCAGGCGTAACAAATTATATACAAACGCTATTCAAACAGAGCTTATACCTACTAATACTGGCACATAGAATATACAAAACATATTACAGAGAGACTGCAAGAATTAGGATTAGGGGCTGATTATACAGTGGGGAGTTTCAACCCGGTTGACCGAGCTGTTTCACGATCACATGGCAAATTTCATCCAGGGATGAGTTAGAATTTCAGTTCAAACCTGGGTGAAATCTAAGCACGGGCTGAAACGATCAAGTCTCAAAATGGATGTTGAATGGCTATTGAATGCATGGCTATTCGCTGAATGGCTATTCACTTTCATACATGCAGGATTCGCAGCGATTTTTGAAATCCTTGAATGTCTTTAAATTTGAATGCAAGTCTTCAAGGTCTTTGAAAAATCTTTGAATTGTGTGAAAAAAGCGAAGAAAATCTTTTAAAAGTCTTGAAATTCTTTAGTGAGGAATTGGTTATACGATTTTGAAGCAAGATTTTCGCAAATATCGACGAAAAGGTGCATTTTAGGATGTGATTTGACGGGACTAATTACTGGGTAAAAATGGTGCTTACACTCCAAGATTTTGAAGCAAGATTTTCGCAAATATCGACGAAAAGGTGCATTTTAGGATGTGATTTGACGGGACTAATTACTGGGTAAAAATGGTGCTTACACTCGCAATTTTTTGACAGCTGATTGCTCTCAAATGTTTGTGAAAAGTCTTTGAAAATAGGCAGAAAATATCTTTGAAAGTCTTTGAATTTTTTGGTCTTGGAGACTACGAACCCTGTTACGAATCCAGTAACTATGTTGTAAAGGATTCCTGGTTGTACTGATAGTGCAACGTATATGAAATTTATATTAATCCAGTTTGCGTGCATGTGTGCTGTTTTTCAGTGAATAGAGTCAATGGAAAGGATCCAGTTGAAAGCTTAGAAGACGGTAAAGATTATGCAAAAGGAAATTCTACTCAGCTTGAGAAATATCTCGCGAAACTCAGTGGTAAAACAGATATGAAGGTCAGTCACCGATGTTGAAAGTTAACTCTATAATTAAATACTGGATAGAGTGATCTCTTGTAGGTATAATCGAAGTTATCGTTTCAGTTTTTAAAGAGTCCAGTGGGCTAATATAGCGCGTCATCTCGTTTTAGGTTTTATTCTGCGGTGACAGTTTATTATCCGATGTTTATCCGCCAAGATATTTCTCAAACTGGCAAACTGTCGCTCTTCTGGAGGAACTGGAAGTAGAAATTAACAATAAAGTTTGTGAAAAACACGAGATAGATAAAACGGTATGATTTATGAGGAGAACGTTCACTGGATCTCTATAGAGAGAACAATTAAGACAGAACATGGTGGATCTATCTGGTATCATTAATTTAAAGTTAGCTTTATAATTTTTCTATAGGATGATGGCACTGGTTATGAGCCGGACACCAAAAAACAAAAATTAAATGCAAGTTTTCTCATTCATTTTCTTCACTGTACTTTATCTTACTTTTGTAACTTACTATGGGGCGGATCTAGCCTCATCTGCAAGGAGGGGGCAGGTTTTCCATGGGGTGGTGCATGAGGGAGCCTTACTGCCCACTCTCCTCTGCAGTCTGCGACGCTACTATCCCAACATTACCATTATTTGAGATGGCCGAATCTGCATGTTTGCCGTTCTATTACGTTTTACATTATCCTTTTTTTATAAAGTTTATATTGGCCTTTTACATGCGTAACTGGACAGTTGCTGTAGGACAGTAAATTTGCTTGTGTTAAAGTACAGTATATTTGAAAATATGGCTGTATAACAACCTCGACATGTTTACATATACATATTTAACCCATTAAGCGCCAGCGCTCTCCCATTGACTAGTAAAATCGTCTGGCGTTAGACATTGCGACTCATTGGGTTAACTAGACACATGGGCAGATAGGCCAGTTAACCCATTAAGCGCCAGCGCTCTCCCCTTGACGAGTAAAATCGTCTGGCGTTAGACAGGGAGTAAAATACTAAAGTAGGGTGCATCGGGGTGCTGCGACTCATTGGGTTAACTAGACACATGGGCAGATAGGCCAGTTAACCCATTAAGCGCCAGCGCTCTCCCCTTGACGAGTAAAATCGTCTGGCGTTAGACAGAGTAAAATACTAAAGTAGGGTGCATCGGGGTGCAATGCGACTCAATGGGTTAACCATGATATTTAACTAAAGGATTCTGAGTATTTTCGCGTGAGCTCACAAATCAATTAAATCGTTTCAAGAAATCGACACGTGCTAACAGTATAGAAGTTCCCCTAATCGCTATTCGAAAAGCAGAAAATGAATGGTCAAGCAGATTTTTTTAGGGTGGTGCTGGACTTCTCTAGGAGGATGCTAGACACTACTAGGTGGGGTACGCACCCTCCGGTAGATCTTCCCCTGTGTGAAAATGAGGCCATTGGGGGAGGGGGGCAGTTCAATACACCGTACAGTCTATTAATATTCTTTTTCTGTCATTTTAATTCTAAACAGGAAAATAATGGCGAACAGAAAGATGACCACACAACGTCAAAGGATATTCTTACGTCAGCAACATGGGACTCTATATTTGGTACAGATGGCGAGCTCATGAATACACTTTTCAGCGGTCTTGTTGACGAGTATAGCTCACTCGTAATAGCAGGCCTGGACTCTATAACAGGTTGGACCTACAGAGGATAGTTTTTACTGTATCTATAGGGAGACCTGTCTAGAACTGATAGAGCTATATAGTAGTTAGGTTTTTCTCCTGGAATAACACTGAATAAATAAAGAATGGCCCTTAGAATTCAGAACAGTTTAGAACTGATATAAACACCGCACAAAAAGAAAGTTCCCCCTATATATATTAGCATAAGTTCTAAACAAATGAGTCCCTGATAATGACATCTAGCACTAATCATAGCTATGGTAGTTTGCTTAGTTCTCTATGAAGAATACTTGAAATATTATTAATGACTTAACCACAAATGATGACAAAACACTCAATTGCAAATTAACAGGCTATCCGAGGTATAGCGGAGTGCATCTGTAATATGTCCTCTTACTGTGATAATAGAAGTCACCACATGCGGAGCAACGGGCGGAAACTAACTCTCGATAAACCTAATAGATCATTTATGAAAAAGTCATTTTCATATCGAGGAGCTTCCGCCTGGAACTCATTACCTAACGAAATCTTAGACGTTCACGAACAGTTGACGATATATTCTTTTAAAACTAAGCTCAACAATCACCTACGTTGATAAAATATCCAATTGTAAAGACTCCTAGTCAATTACACTATTTTGTAAATACTTATACTATTTTGTAAATATTTATTTTGTACTTTCTTTTATGTAAACAACCCCTTTAAAAGCAGCGTAGGCTGAAGGGTTATTGTTTGTAAATAAGTTTTAATAATAATAATAATAATAACAAAAATGACTATATTGAAATTGATGCTTGTGATGTTACTCTGAATGTATATCCACACCGGGCAAGCTTGAAAAATATGCCTGACCACGGTGGGAATCGAACCTACGACCTTTGGAATACTAGCCCAATGCTAGTACTGGAATACTAATTGCCAACTGCATACCATAGTTCTAATTACTGCTAGGTGTGTTTATCAGGGACTTGCTTGTTTGGATCTGGAACTTTTGCTGATATATTTAGTCGGGAACTGTCATTTTGTGCGGTTTTAGAAATAAAGATGATTTAGTTGATAGATTTTCAATTTTTTCCATCTTTTTTTGTAGAATTGCCACTGGATCATTCATTTGAGAAAAACGTTGATGGACAAACGCGGTTTTATCCACAAGCTCCACAAACTTCGACGAACTCGTAAGATAAACGTAATGAAAATAAATATAAACATAATAGAGTTATCACTCCACTTTCTTGTCGCCCCAGTGATCCGGGGCTAAAATCCAGCAATATTACACAAAATATGTCCCTGATAAGCAGACGTCACTATCATCCTAATTAGAAAAGCGCCTGCATGCAGGCGCGGACATATTAGACTCTCGATATTAAAAGTAAACTGTTGACTTTACTGATTTACTCCCATGGATTTCTGTGGCATTGTTTTGCATTAACTATTTATTTCAGCTGTCTGGATAAATTAATATCAAGCTCGTTGTCGAGGTCCTCCAGCCTTCGGTGTTGATATTGGCTAATTCACGTAAGCTGCCTGACCTATTCAAATTAACTAGCGGCATTTGTGTGCAAAATTAAACACCTGCTGCCGTTTAAGTGTGTGTAGCAACAGCGCTAAGCATTTAAAACGATGAATTATGGCAATGTCGTTGAGAAAAATGCACGCAAGCCATGTATATAAGTGTAGATTGTAGTTTAGTTCATTTGTGAAAGTCATCCAGTCCCGAATGGCGCGTGGAGTCCACGAAAGAATAGAAATCCAACAAAATGGTCGGTATTTTATAAAATAAACAATACAAATGGCTTTATAGTAAAGCTCTGGCGTTTTTTTCATCGGCAGACAGGATTTTGCACTAATTTTGTGGATATTTCAACTGTATTTTATCGATTTACGGGTCAAGCTGGGCTGTGCAATTTCGAGAGTGGGATTGACGTCCCGCGGTGGACCCGCTAACAATAACAACATGGCGGATTCGTTTCCGTCAGTCGGGTCGCCCCAACGGCTTGGGAGCCCAAGAAGTAAAGTTTCCTTGAAGCCAGGGCGAAGTTTAATGGACTGGATCCGATTAGGGAACAGCGGGAAAGACTTACAAGGCTTTGGGGGGAAATTTCGTAAAGTTTCCACGGCGGAATTAGCCGAACACAATAGCATTGACGATGTGTGGATTTGTCTCAGAGGTAAGGATACTTTATTTAATTAGTGTGGATATCTTATTTGTTATGCAAAAATCGATGGCAGTTGTTATTGTTTTGAAAAACATACAAAGCTAGATTAAATATTTATGGTTTGAGAATAATAAGATTTATTAAATTAAGGTCATGGGTATGATTTCGAAGGATTTCCCAGGGGGGTGGGGACCCTTCTAAATCATACGTTGTTCCCTAAAAACTATATGGGAGCCTTATTTAGAAACATTTGCCAACCCCCCTTATATACCATTGTTTGCATTTAAGCTTTAAAGGTTGTAGATGAAATCATGATCTATTCTCATACTGTATAAACCTCTGAATATAAGCCCTGAGGTTATATTCGTTTGTAAGCATTTACATGGGGGAGCTACAGTATATATGGGTGGGCATAATACTGAATGAAATTATCACTTGTCTGAGCTACTGTCCAATAAGAAACCCATGGGCTTGTAGACAGCTTGTAATATTTTATAGTTTTTTCACACACCAACTCTTATTAATCATACATGGCTTTCATATTAGGTTGTGTTTATAACATCACACCATATTTGGAGTATCATCCGGGGGGTATACCGGAAATAATGAAGGGCGCTGGTATCGATGCAACACAGTTGTTCAATGAGGTGATGTAAATTGAAATGAACTTTGGCCGGATTCTGATCTTCTCACTCGGTATAACAAATTTTTGAAGGGATTTGTAGATGGAAATTTTGAGTGGAATTTTTATACATTATTAGACCTAACCAGAAGCAGTTGCGAAAAATGCAACTATAGGTCCTCTGGCAGGAATCGAACAGTCGCTCTAATCAACTGAGCTACAGAGAGACAGTCTCAAGCTCCCTTCAACAATTACAGTAGTCAGTGGCGTGCTGGGTACTATTTTTCTGGGGGGGCCAGTGGGTTGTCAACCAATATATGTCAACCCTATAATGTTACGCTTGATACACGAGGGCAGAAGGCACGAGCCGAGCGCCGTAGGTTCGAGGTTTGTCTAGGGGGGTCCGGGGGCATGCCCCCCCAGGAAAATTTTTGAATTTAGAGTCTCTGAAATGCCATTTCCTTGACTTTGGGGGAAGACTTGACAAAAATCTGATGGTCAGAAAACGGCATTATAACGTGTCGAAATTTGAAATTTGGTTAGAATTTAGTAGTAGTACTTCAAGCGATTAATCTAATCCCAATTCTATTCTCTACTGATCTGAATACATTTACAACTTTCACACCCACTTTCAAAATTCGGCGCCCCCTTTTCATTTTTGCGCCCCCCAAGAATTGCCAGCTGGGGGGGCCGTGGCCCCCCGGCCCCCCCCTGCCAGCACGCCACTGACAGTAGTTGTATCGAGTGACAAGCTGAGAATCATGATATTTGGATATTGTATGATATTCCGAAAATCATGATATTTGGATAGAGTATGAAATGATCGAGTCATCTTACATTCATTTTCATTCCAATGCTAGATTCATCAATGGGTGAATGCAGAGTCCATGTTACAGAAATGTTTAGTTGGTCCTCTTGTACAGACTCCAAAGGAAAAGAAGAAAAGTGGTAATAATGTGATGTATATAAAGTAAAATTCATATATTTTGCAGTAGATTACATGACAGGAAAGTTAGTTAATCATGGATTATATTTGATTCCAGGAACAGGAAGTTACAAATCATCCCTATCTCTACTTGCCCCTCCAATACCTCTTGTTGTGAAATCAAAAGATGACACAGATAGCAATGAAGGTAATGAACAAAACATAGGATTTAACATATCTGCCGGATGTCACCGGCGTTTTCACAGCCCTAGCCGGCAACACAGAATAGGGAGGTACAGCAGAAGTGTACCGGTAACTCAAGCAAGTATTTGTCCGTGTTTTTACAAGCAATTTGTCATCAATCACACCATCCTGGCTAGTACAACCGGCAATTTGTACCTACCAAAACCTGATAAAAGGATGGCGTGAGCAAGTTAAAATTTTCGTGGACATAAAACAGTAATGGAACCGACTCAAGTTACACTTCTGCTATACCTTCCTATTCTGTGCCGGCGACTTCTAAATTAGCAACAACAAATTTTTCTTATTAATATCCATTGATCTATACAATGAATTTATAGATTTTACATTAATTACACATTCTGGTAGCCATGAATCTGGTAGCCATGAACAAGGCGGGAATCATAACTGTATAATGAAAATCAATGCCCAGCTGTGATGCTAGTGAATATTTTAAAATTTCATTTTGTGATATGGCCTACTTGGATTAATTACCTACATTATGCTGGGCATAGATTTTCATCATATGATTTTTGAAAAGACTTTTTGAAAAAGTTCTTTTTAAAGACTGTTACTGCATGCATTTTTGCTGGCCGTTTTGCTTCAGCTTTTGTACATGTTGTGGTGTATTCACTGCATAATCATTTCATGTTTCGCTTATCATAGCCCCAAAAAATTGGCAGTACAAAAAAGGTACATGCACCAAACAGCCTACAAATATATCTCAATTCAAATTATTTATTTTAAACCCAGAACACCTTAAACTTTCTAACACCATACTCATGAATTTTCTGTCTTCCAGATAGTTTATATTGGAGATGCGAAGTGAAATCAATAGTGGAGGTCACTCATAATGTGAAAATGTTTTGCTTCACGTTGCCCAATGGATTGGTCATGGATGCACCCGTCGGACATCATGTTCATTTCCAAAGAACAATTTCAGGTTGTCAGTTTAGTACATACCTATACAATCTATTGCTGAAGAACTTGATCTATACCAGTTCCATTATTCCTAAACTGTTCTCCTTAGAGGTCCAGTAAACATCATCTTTCTTGGTCCACATGGGCGGATCTAGCCTCATCTGCAAGGGGGGGGAGGGGGGGTACATGCCTTCCATGGGGTGGTGCATGAGGGAGCTTTACTGCCCACTCTCTTCTACAGTTTGCAACACTACTATCCCAACATTTCGCTATTCTGTTACGTTTTGCATTATCTCTTTTAAAGTACCTGTATATATCAGCTTTTTATCACACGTTGGACAGTTACTGTAGCACAGTGCAGTAAATTTGCTTGTTCAAGTACAGTATATTTGAAAATACGGGTGCATAACAACCTCAACATGTTTACATATTTAACCATGATATTTAACTAAAGCCTTCTGAGTATTTTCTCGTCAGCTCACAAATCGACACGCACTAACAGTAGAAGTTCTGCTAATCGCTATTCGAAAAGCAGAAAATGTATGGTCAAGCAGATTTTTTTAGGGTGGTGCTGGACTTCTCTAGGGGGAGGGAGTGCTAGACTACACTAGACTGTGGTGGAACCCCCTGCGCCCCCACAGATCCGCTCCTACCATAGTCTGAAAATTTTAAGTGTTCGACTACTTAAATTATGATTTGTATCCACTTTAAGGGAGAATTAATTGTATATCATCCTTCGATTGTTTAGGAATTGACATTTCAAGGCCATACACTATCGTAGTTCCATCATTTGACTTCAAGAATGGAGAGGAAACTAAAAGACATTTATACTTAATAATAAAAATCTATCCGTCGGGGACATTGACACCAAGTTTGTTGGACGTGAATATTGGTGAGAACAGACTTAATCTGCTAAAGCCCTGTTTAAACTAGTAGTGCAACCATTTCCGACAGTGTTGAACCAACTGACAGGCTCTCCTTATCAGTGATAAGGAGTAATTATCAGGTTCGAGTTCGCCTTACCAGTAAAATTGACCGTTTCCACGAGCATTGATTACCGTTTGGAGAAGCCTAGAGTTTGTGTACATTGGTTAAGAAATAATTTGTACCAAGTATTGCTGATATTCCACACCATTCACTATTTAGCATTGATACATATTGAGTACAGAAATGTCCTATAAACGCGATCGATGAAGAACATTTTTTGGCGGGATGTTTATTATCACCGCAGCGTGGGTTTGACGACTGAGTAATTAAATAACTAAAAATGTTTATTTAAGGCGTGTGTTTAGAATACAATCTTTAGTATTATTTAAAAGTTTAAATCTTCCCTCAAAATGCAGGAAATGCCATTTCAGAGACTCCTGATTTCCAAATTTTCCGTGGGTATACCCTGGGCCCCCTAAAGGTTTGTAGGTTCGATGTGACGCTTATACCTGTTTTTGTTGAAAAACCTGTTTTTCCTGTCCCACTCACAACTCGAAATTCAGAAGAAAATTCTAACCAATAGTGTTTTAGGTGATCATTGTCTATTGACTGGCTATAGTGGAAATTTTCAATCATCACGACTAACGGAGGCAAAAGATATAATTATGATTGCTGGTGGGACAGGTTGGTTTATTATTTAACTACATTTCTGTACATTCTGACTATTCAATTTTCATCATCTTGTTTTTCTCTTGCACAGGATTAACACCCATGATCAGAATAATTCATTCATTCATACATCAGCAATTGTCTTCAGTAAGGTAAAGGCCCCAGGCATTTTCTTCTTCTGATTGATGTGAACGAGTAAATGAGTTATGAATGCTCTCAGTATGTGTACCCTCGTCTGAACATTCATAGCTCATCCACTCGTTTACATCAATCAGAAGAAGACAATCGCACCTAAAGTCGCAGTAAAAATTGCAAGTGTAAACAGATTATGGTGGGGGAAGGCACCGAGTTTTTCCTGGTAAAAATTTTGCACACCCAACCATTAAAAAGTTTTTTTTTTTTACCCAACATCGAATATCAATTAAAAAAATATACCCACCCCTGGCCAAAAACTTTACAAAAGGATACCATTCAGTTGTCACACATGTCCTTTAACACTCCTGTGACATGAGTTTGATAACTGCTTGTGCAATTTTCTGCAGTCTAAAGTTTCATGTTGTCTGCACATGTAATTTCTTTGGAGATACCATTTGCCTCCTGACAAATCGGGAAATGATTAAGATAGTGACTCTGATTGATTTACATATTGTACTGACATATGACTGTTGACATTGCTTTTTAGTCTTCAATATTTCAGTGAGTCATGCTTTGGAAATGACAATACATTTTTATTACCCAACCCTTGAGTTGTTTTGTTTTTCATTTACCCAACCTTTTACTTACTCAAAATATTGTTTACCCAACCCTTTTCTCTTCGGTGCCACCCCCCGCCATAAATAATGACCGGTCCCTTATACAGTACAATGCAAGTTCAAGCTATTGTTCCGTTTGCACCCAAGCAAACACGGAAAGCCGGTCTATTGATACATATTCTTTTGATCTAAACACTACACTTTTCTTCTTCAGAACTATTAAGTTGTTATTTGCTAATCGCGAAGAAAAGGATATTATCTGGAGAGACAATCTAGACCAGCTCCAGAAGGAGATACCCGAAAAGTTAGTAAAAATACTGTATCTTGAATCTTTAGGCAATGGTTTCAAACCTATATTAACTTACTTTATTATTAATGGATAGCTCTATGTATAAGTTCTAAACTGTTCTTCACGAGAACGTGTATTTATGTGTCTGGTGAAATTTTAATCCGTACAGTACATTTACTCTTGTTTTGCTCTTCATTTTCCAGGTTTCAAATTTATTATTTTCTGTCCAGTCCACCAGAATCATGGTCAGGGCACACGGGCCGAATCACGGAAAGTTTTCTGAAAGAATTACTACCACCTAGCCCGCAATCGGGCTGCGAGAAAGATTTACTGATATGTGTCTGTGGTCCCGATCCATTCACCCTACAACAGCTGAAGTAAGTTCACATCTGAGTTCAGTGTCCCCACATTGTCTGCTACCTATCAATTTAGTGACGTTTGTATTTCTTTTCCAACAGATTTCTGAAGAGTCTTGGCTACAACAACAAGTCAACGCATGCATTTTTTGGCTAAAAAATTCTAGAGTATAAAATTAATGTCAAGTCGATGACTGAATATTGACAATGATGATGCGAGATACTGCCAGGAAATTATCTCAGAGATATGAAAATCCAACTAACTGCTTAGGGAGCGGTCATTATTTATGGCGCGGGGTGGCGCGGAAGAGAAAAGCGTTAGGTAAACAAAATTTTGAGTGAGTAAAAGGTTGGGTAATTGAAAAACAAAACAACTCAAGGGTTGGGTAATAAAAAATTATTGTCATTCATAAAGTATGACTCACTCAAATATTGAAGACTAAAAAGCATTGCCAATGGTCATTTTTCAATACAATATGTAAGTCAATCACTATCAGAGTCACTATCTTGATCATTTCCCGATTTGTCAGGAGGCAAATGATGTCTACAAAGAGAGTACTGGCGCAGACAACATGAAACTTTACACTGCAGAAAATTGCACAAGCAGTTATTAAAACAATGTCACAGAAGTGGTAAAGGACATGTGTAACAACTGAATGGTATCCTTTGGTAAAGTTTTTGGCCAGGGGTGGGTATTTATTTTTTAGTTAACGTTTGAGATGGGTAATTTTTTTAACTTTAATGGTTGGAACAGCAAAAATTTACCATGAAAAACATTTCTCTTCGGTGCCACCCCCCACCATTAATAATGACCGGTCCCTAATATCAAATGGCTGAAATGGGACAATAGGGCCATTTATACGGGACAAAATAAGTCACGACTTACATAAGACGCGACTTAAATAGGCGGAGTTATCGCATAAATGGTTCTCTATGGCTTTGATCTTATTTATTTGCTATAGCTATGTTGTTGTTTTGTTTGTTTTTGTTTTAATATGCAAGGCTAATAATTTTACGTGTAGTTAGACTTTTTGTCCAAAATTTCTTATTTAAGACGCGACTTAGATAAGAACAGCTAAAAGGCCTGTTCTTATGTAAGACGCGTCTTATCCAAGACGCGTCTTACATAAGAATTTTGTACCTTTTATACGACAAACTCGCGTCTTATTTAAGTCGCGTCTTATGTAAGTCGCGTCTTATTTTGTTCCGTATAAATGGCCCTAATAAGTGATCCCAGCTCGAGCGGGCTTGTATATCAAAAATTGTAGTGTACAAAATAGACGGTAGATCAAAATTTTATTTATTTGTATAAAATGAGAAATGGATGTATAAAATTGAAGATTGCAATATGCTAATAGGAACAGTGATTGACCGATAAAGCCGATTTTTTCCTTATCGGATACATTGCGTTTTAACGCAGTATGTTGCCCGCGACGCAATTGATGTGTGAAGTGTGCCATTTATGAACTGTCCTTATGTTTCTTGTGAAAAATGCACATGACGAAACAAGATTTCTATTCCAGATTTGCAGAGGTCAATAACAAAAATATTCAAAGTTAAGGCTGCACTCGCAGGCGCTCCAACCTGCGAACGGGTGTTGTCACAAAAACAAATATGGTTTCCAAAACAGTTTACTAAATGTGAAAAGAAGTCAAAAGATGACTGCATTTCAAGGCCAGAAGTTAATTCACTTCGACTTAAAAGGTGCAGCACCTAAACTTGAATACTTGCTACGTTTAATTCCTCTGCTTCGCGAATGGGGAGCAACTGGAATACTTATAGAATACGAAGATATGTTTCCGTATAAAGACCAACTTCAAGTCATTCCTAAACCTTTTTGCTACACGCTGAATGATATCCACAGGCTTCAACAAGCCGCCGAGAACGAGAACTTAACTTTTATCCCGCTTGTTCAAACGTTTGGGCACATGGAATTTGTGTTGAAACACGCAAAGTTTGAGAGTTTACGAGAGACCGTGAGCAATCCAATGTCGGTATGTCCACTGCATAAGGCTGCTTTGAATTTGGTAAAAAGTTTAGTGGAACAACTCGTGGAGGCACATGAGGATCTTAAGTACTTACATATTGGTGGGGATGAGGTAGGATGATGGTACCATACCATACTCTTAGTACCAATACTGTCTACTGTACCATACCAAGTACCATGCTATATATAGTGCTATACCATACCCTGACTGGAAAGTTTGGAAATTGCGCGGGGGAAATTTCGAAAATTTAATAGTAAATATATAGAGAGCAAACAAAGTGTGCGGGGATTTCTCCCCCGCGCAATACAAACTTTCCACACTGGTACCATACCATACTGAGCTACCTCCAGTGTGGAAAGTTTGTATCGCGCGGTGGAGATATCAGCCGCGCAATTTTGATGCTTTCTATATATTTACTATTAAATTTTTGAAATCTCCAAACTTTCCAGTCAGGAGCTACCTTATCATACCACACCATACTTTACCATGCCATACTTTACCATACCATACTTTACCATACCATATTATATTACCATACTATACCATATACTATACCATACTTTAAGTACTGTGTATACTAGTACTATACAATGCACTAATATCGGTATATCAGTCCTAAATTCAAAATATCAGTATTGTATTTTAATTAACAAATTTATACAATATATTTTAAATTTAAAGTTTGGTTATAACAAAACTCAGTGACCCAAATCAATGATTATATAAAATAATTCAACATAATTTACCATATACTATATCAGATTATACTGTACAGTACCATACAACATATACTATTCCATACCAGACCATGTTGCTATGCAATTTATTCCATACCAAAACATACATTCTGTACCAAAGTAACCAAACCGTACTTTACCAAACCATACAGGGGTTAAAATGCTATTAAATTTGGTAAGCAGATCTTATTTGCTGGTAGCCACTTGGTTGACTAAAAAATCTTTAAAATTCCAACCTTTAACAAACAAAATTTGTTACATTGCAGGTGTTTAATTTAGGGACGTGTCCGACCTGCCAGGCGTCGACCATGAGCAAACAACAACTTTTTAGAAGTCACATGATTCCGCTTCTCAAATACATTAAAACTAAATGGCCGAGTATCTCTTTGCTTATGTGGCATGATATGATAGCAGAGTACAGCATTGAAGAACTGCAACCTTTTGGCAATCTCATTGAACCAATGGCGTGGGGTTATGTGGACGATATCAGCAGTTATTTTCCAAAAGACATGTTTGGGCGATTTGGTCAAGTGTTTGATAATATTTGGGTGGCAAGTTCTTTTAAGGGGTCTTCGGGTTAGTAAATTTTAAAACAGTTTTCAACTGATGAACAGGAGCGGGTCTACCCCAGGTGTGCAGAGAGGTGTGCACCCCATCTAGTGGTGTCAGCTAGCATCCCCCTAGAGAAGTCTAGCACCACCCTAAGAAAATCTGCTTGACCATACATTTTCTGCTTTTCGAATAGCGATTAGCGGAACTTCTACTGTTAGCGTGTGTCGATTTCTTGAAACGATTTAATTTACTTTTTGAGCTCATGAGAAAATATTCAGAATGCTTTAGTTAAATATCATGGTTAAGTTTGCAAACATGTTGAGGTTGTTATACAACCATATTTTCAAATATACTGTACTTTGACAAGCAAATTTACTGTACTGTCCTACAGCAACTGTCCAGTCACACAAACATGATAAAAAGCTGATATAAACTTTATAAACCAGGGTTTTTTTTCCAGGATTTTCTCTTGGGTCCGTTTTTGCAGAGAAGACTGAGTTTAGATGAACAGCTGGGGTGGTTGCACCCCCTCCCCTACTGGGGGGGGGGGCTGACACTTGTACTCAATAAATGTAGTTGAGACGGAATGTGTTAAAGCAGGGGGCACTAAGGGACACTATAAACTGATTAAAGATGAGGCCGTTTAACGCCCTGAAAAAAAGCCTGATAAACAAAAGATAATGTAAAACGTAACAGAATGGCAGATTCGGGCATCTCAAATAATGGTAATGTTGGAATAGTAACGTTGCAGACTGCGGAAGAGAGTGGGCACCCTATTGAAAACCTGCACCCCTCCTTGCAGATGAGGCTAGATCCGCCCCTAACTGTCAAACCTAAATCTTATTGTTCTGTTCTGTCATCTTACAGGACCTACAGCGGATTATGTGCCACTGGAACACCACGTGGCTAATCATTTATCCTGGCTTCAACTTATCTCCAATCTACCTGAAACGACTCGATGCAAGATCTCGGGTATAGCCATCACCGGCTGGTCAAGGTATGATCATTACGCTACGCTTTGCGAACTATTTGTCCCTGCCATTCCTTCTCTAGTCCTGTGTTTAGCCATACTAGAGAATGGTCATCTTACGAATGAAATTGAAGAACTAGTTGCCCAACAGCTTGGGTTTACATCGACTCGGTCTCTAAAACCAATAGTCACCGACCCTTATGCCGAGTTCGAAAAAGGCTGTTTCCCAGGGGCTGACCTGTTCTCGTATGTTGCATATTTGGAAAAAGCAAAATTTTTCCTCAAACGGACAAACTTTCAAATGAAAGGCTGGCTCACTCAATGGCACCAGAAAAGTAAACTCGTTAATACGGCTCACATCGAGCATGCGCGTTGGTTGTGCGATGTTGCCCTTAAGAATTTGAGTTTTATTCGGGCACACGTCCGTGAGTGTCTTAGGGAAATTTACCACGAAGAAACTGTCGAAGAATGGTTAGATGTGAAAGTGGAAGTACGAATACGAAAAGGAAATGGCTATTTGGAAATTTTAAATAATTTTAATCTGAAAGGAACGTAATGAATGCAAAGTTATCACACAGGAACTCGGCATGCAGTTAGGTACTGTACGCACGCGCTCGAAAACACAATTGACTCTTTGAATGAAAATTTGAGTCTAATTCATCCAGACCAAAACTGACCAAACTTAAAATATAACCACGCATAGATTTTTGGTATGGCAATTGCTAGATAGTATACTTCAAAATAAGGTTTCCGTTTTTATGTCAATTTTTAAAATAAGTTAGGGTTAGGTTAGGGTTTAGGTTAGGGTTTAGGTTAGGGTTTAGTTTTGTGTTAGGATAGTTTTTTCTACGTTATAAAGACGGAAACCTTATTTTGAAGTATACTATCTAGCGATCACCTTTTTGGTATATGTGATATTTGGTCATTCCAAGAAGAAATGTAATATATCTTTATAATAAAAAATCGCATATTGATCAACTCTCGACGGTGAAAATATGCAATTTCGACAAACAATTTTTATGCGACTCACATTTGCTCATTTTTTCTCATCCTACAGTTAAAAGCACCGAGTAATTAACGTGCAATGGCATGCTAAAGTTGAATTACCTTTTTATACACCTTGTATAATGGACAAGAAAGCGTGCATGTATTCGACCTAGCAACCGCGTAGAAAATAATTAGAGCACACAAATAAACTATTTTCCCCCAAATAATAAATATATTATGTTATATAATTGTCCAGCATATATAAATTGAATCGATCTAGGAATCAATTTTTCGAAGAACATATATAAACTGAGTCTATGTACTAAGTTTGTAAAATAACTTGTACTTGTGAAATCGATGTCGGAAATTCCATATTAAGAAGTGCTTATCTCTCTTCCCCAGATTGTCTCTCGTTTATTTAATTCTTTTTCTTCTATCTCGCTTTCTCGTATCTGTCCAGACGGAAACGCCCATGTGCCAGTATAGCAATGTTTTCGCATTTTAACCGCCAGTGTCTGGCGTAATTTAATTTTCGCAACCTTGTCAAAGTTTTGCAACTGCGTCTGAGAAGGTATCATTATTGGCACAGCTGATTGAGATTTTTTCTCAGGACTAGACACCCCGCTTCCCCTCTCCTGTAATGCCGCGCGCACCTTACTGCAAGCAGCGGTGTCGGATTTACTTCGGATATCTCTCGTGGCAACGCGAAGGCTGCTGTCTTTGAGCGACGTCTTCACGGCACATGCCGAGCAGCTTTTCTTCGGAAGTTTCGTTGCGGATTTCTTGTCATTAAGACGCGTCGCTGACCGAGGTTTGCTCAAACCTTTCTCGTTTTCCTGCGTTTTCCGTCCAGTTTTGCCCTTCGATTTGGTAGTTATAATAAACGTTTTTGCGACAACACACATTCCCTGGACGTTTGGTTTGGTTCGTACAAACTTTTGAACACTTTTACCTTTACTTATCTTCGTTGAGGAACTTTTCCCGGACCCTTGCGAATTTTTTGCATGTCGTCGGTTGGTTTTGCCCTCATTCGCGTTCTCCCCACCACTCGGCGTTTTCCGTTCACTGTTGATATCTTTCTTATCCTTTCCGATGTTTTCTCGATCATTCCCGATGTTTTCCCGATCATTCCCGATATTTTTCCGAACGATCTTTTCCATGCTTTTCCGACTACTTCCGATACGTTTCCGATCGTTTCCGATATTAGACCGATCACTTCCGGTATTTGACCGAGCTCTTCCGATCTTTTGCCGAGAACATTTGGTCTTCTTCCGATCACTTCCGATCTTTTGCTGACCACTTTTTACATTTGACCGATCACTCTCGATATTCAGTGAGTTCCCTGCGATGTTTTTCCGATCGCTCCTGGAATCCGTCCGACCGCTCTTCGCATCACTTTCGCTCTCCGGGCAAGGGATAGCAGTCTTTACTTTATCTTTCAATACATAACTTTTCTCATCTGTAAATGCTCGGTCATTCCCTGTTCGTGAATATTTGCTAATCTCGTATACTTCAGTCTGCATTAGTTCCTCTGATTTTTGTTTCACTGGACTGCCACGGCGAATCTCATTTGGCGAGACTTTTAAACCTTTGACCATAGGTGCTAGCTGGTCTATGAGCACTTCAGTATGTAGAGATGAAGCTTGTCTAGCCTCTTGGTTGGTGCGTAGAGATTCTTTCTCTATCATGCTCTGTTTAAGATTTTGCGCAAAATCAGTGTCTACATTCTCCAGTACACTATAGTTCTCCTCATAGGGTTTTTCCAACACTGTATTTGTATCCGTGTTCAATTTTAAATCATCAATCTTTAAAGTATTCTTATCCTTACGTACTAAGGCATCTTTATGTGCCATGTCTTGCTCTCCGGGTAGTCTGACCTCGAGTTTTGTTGGAACTATATTATCTTTAATACCTTCCGGTAACAACCCCTCAAAATCCTTATTGGTTCTCAAAAATCCATCGATTTCCATCTCGCCCGAGCTGTTTCGAACACGTACCCAAATAATGTTCGTTTTCGAAGGGCTGCGCGAAGGTGGAGGTCCCTGTGGCGTGTCGAAGTTACGTTTCCATGGTAGTGAGTTCGTCCTGCGATGTCTTTCGGCCATCTTCTTCAAAAGGCAAACTTTCTTTACCTGTAATTGTCGAACGCTCTTGGCACCACTCTGATAAAATACACCGTTGGTCGTTGAGGTCCAGGATTTTCTCATCATTCCATTGCCTTTGGAAAACGATATTTATTTTTTTTTTATTAAACGATATTTAAAGTCTGTTTTACACTATCAAAGTTTCTGTGGTCACAGTAGGAATTTTGCACAGATAATTCTAAGTTTTGAAGGAGGGAACTCACTCGGTGTTTAACACTGAGTCAATGGACCATTCCCCAATTAACCAAAATCTTGATCTCAACAAGTCTAGACAAAATTCCATCATAGCATGAAAGAGCATCACAAAATTAGTAATATTCCAAAGTTTCGTTGCAAAATGTTGTAAAATGCGGATAATATAGCCTTGCGAAGTTTGCAATTTTCAATCATTTTAGATTACACACGGGAAATGGTTACCACTTCTGTGCGTAATACAAAATGACTGAAAATTACAAACTGGTAGTTGCTAATTTGCATGCTATCGATGCATAACCCGTTGAAATATGGCTTCTGCAGTATAAACAGTAAATTATACTACGCGATGCTGTAAATCACAAAATCAGAGAATACGGTAGGTCGTTTGAAATTTGCCTCCGTGGACAACTTGCATGTTAGACTAAATTTTAATCTAAGTAAAGAGAAGGGAATCAAACACCACAGCTAAAAAGAACATAATGAAATTAGTGAAATTGCAAAATTTAGTTGCGAAATTATATAAAGCTTGGAAAATATAGCCTTGCAAAAATATAGCCTTGTTTATGTTTGTAACATGCGTGCGGAAATTGTTACCTTTTCGGCTCAAAAATGGTATCAATTTCCGCACGTAATCCAAACATATACAAAATATGCAAACTTCGCAAGGCTATATTTTCCGTATTTTACAACATTTCGTAACCACATTTTGCAATTTTACTGATTTTAATAAGTTCTTTTACGGGAATTTACTTTTTTTTTTGCCTATATCAAAAATTAGTCTAACATGCAAGTTGTCTATTGCTGGTTGCAGAACACAGTTCGTAGAGATATTTAGTGTAACGTTTGCCTGGTGTAAGTTACTGCCTATTCTACATTTATGCTAAAATAATATATACCCTCTCGTGTGCATACATTGAAACATAGCGATTCAAAACAACCAACCTTCTTTTAAGTTGCCATGATCTGGTGATGAAGAGTGACATTTCGCATTATCATTCAATACCAAACACTGCCCGCTACCTCGTCTATTCTCCGATATTTTGCCAGTTCGCATGGACAATTGCAACATATGTTTCTCGTTACTATTCCTATTCAGAAACAGTTTTCGTTCTTTTTCAATTTTTTCTAGCCGTACATTGAGTTTGTGTTCTTCCAAAAGTAATTTCCTCGAAATTTGGCTGGGGAATGAGCTACTAGCCGAATGCACTAAATCTCGACGACCTTTTGTAGTTGGTTTTTGTAACAGAACTTTGAAAAGAATATCTCTGTCCACTTTTCCTTGAATTGAATCGCCCGCTGACTTTCCACGCACTGTCATGTCGACATTTCGTTTAAAATACGATTCCACCAATTTATGACGTCATAATATATCTGTTCGCGCGTGGAGAATTCCACGCACCGGATGCGTGGAAGAATTCCACGCGCACGGAAGATAATTTCGAAATTGGTGTCCCCATTGAGATTTTTAAATAGTCTTTGATGTTTGCTTTTTGTCGCGAGGTGTCTGTTGCTAACACAAGGTCCACTCAGACTGACTTGAGTTTCCCTTTAATTAATTAAACCCCCGACATCAGTAAAGCTAAGATATCCTATAGTGGTGGAAGTCTTTTCAATTCCTTACCTAGTGATCTAAAAACTATAGAAAATTACACGCTTTCATCTAGTTACAATAAAACGTAAGGGGCGAACCATTTGAAATCCCGGGAGGGGAGTACAACATTTTTGTGGCACGATTTTTTTTTCAGTCTCATGTCTCTGCAGGATTTTTTTTTATGCATTTAACCTCTGCAAGAATTTTTTTTCAAGACTATTTGCACTTTGCTTGCACGATTTTTTTCTCTGACGTAATGGCTGCGCGAATTTTTTCCCCAGGCATTTTTCTTTGCACGAATTTTTTTGGGGGAATTTTCACCCCCCCCCCCCCCCCCTCCCGGGATTTCTAATGGTCCGCCCCTAAAGAGTTCTTTCTCCAATTGAACCAAAAAGTACAACATGTGGATGAATTTTCTTGCTTTGTCAATGTTTTGGTAACAGGTCATAAAACATGTACAGTAGGTAAGTAGGTAGGTAAAACTTTATTTCACCACGCTAAAGGCCCACACAGACAGCACGCGATTCGGCAACGCGACGCGAATTAATTTTCAGTTTTCAAAAACAAATAAAACCGTCAACGGATAAAAATTTTACAAGATATGCAGACCAAATTGCTTCAGTGGTTCCGACTATTTCAAAAACATTGAAAAATATTAAAGTTAAATGCCATTGAAAACTGGAAATTCGCGTCGCGTTGCCAAATCGCGTCCGGTCTGTATGGGCCTTAATTAACCCCTACAGCAGAAAGCTGAGTTCCAAGGGGGACGTGTGTATTCGTAAAAAATAGCAAAAACATATTTACATCAGAGACACTATACACTGCATATTTTTAAATAAAACCACAATATTATAATGTTATTATATACCGGCCAGGCATTGTAAAATTGATATTAAAGGAATAAAGAGAATCCTTAGTCCTTAAATCTTCCGAGAGGCTATTCCACAATTTTGCCCCTCAAAAACTCAGACTTTTTTTAAGAAAGTCGTATATATATGAAATATATGAACAGTCATATATGAAAGGGAAATTACACGGTTCGAGAACTGTAATTCAAAAACTCATTAATAATTCATGAGGAAAACACAAACATGTTTTTCACTCGTTAGATAACTTTGTTTTTTTTATGATGAAATGCTTTTAACATCTGTTTATTATGAAAGACCACTTGCTCTAGTTTCTCAGGGCCATGGCAAAGCCAGACTTAAAAATAATCGACCGGAAAATTATTAAATGTCTACATGAAATGATGCCGACTTTTCGTACCGAATTTCTTACCGCGTAGGAGCCTGGGGCATACCTACAAGAGGAGCTTCATTTTCCGCCATCTTGGCTCCAAAAACAAAGTCCGAGTTAATTATCGTTCCAGTGTTTATATAGAGTTCACTGGGTTCGATGCTGTTCTGTACCATCAATCTCAAATCTTTCTGTAGTTGGCCGAACGCGGCGACGTCTTTGTCCTTTACAGTAACCTCTCGGCCAAGGAAATAGACTCCAGAGTTTTTTCCTACTTCTGCGATCTATTACAACCCGTGCTATCAGAGCGTTCAACTGGACTGTTATTATTAAAAGCATACTTGATATAGTTTTAAAACGATATAGCATTTTCCATTTGTAGTAAAGAGCTAATACCCTCGCAAGCAAAACAATGCCAAGATTTATTGCAAACCATCCTGTAATAATCAGCGAACTCCGAACGGAACGCAATTTTGTAATTACGCGCTTTTTCCTGTAAACAGCTTCCGTATGTTCTCTCAACCAGCTAGACACGCTTCTGTACACGCGATAGTTTATAATAACGGTAGCAACCACTGCTATATAAAGTGAGGCCATAATTGAAGTTTCGAACTTTTTCGGCAACGCGTCACGGCACCGAAATTGGAGATATCTACTTCTGTCAATTCTCCGACTGTGTTGTTGGAATACCACAACGGCTGAAGCGAGTAGTAGCCATGTAGCTGTGATTGCTATGAATGTGTTTCTTCGGGAATTTAAAACCCCAAAGATCTTTTTCCTGCACGATTTATGTAGGCAGTAATGATTTATGGCCAAAAAAAGGTAGTTTAATACAGTGCCTATTCCAAAGAGTACACCCAATGCTATATACACTCTGCAAATTCGGTCAAGACTCCTCAGCTCTCGTTTCAGAACTAACACGCTTTTGGTAATGTACAAAATGTCGAAAAATATGTGGAAAACAGCCAAGTTTGTCCTGATATTATTTGCTGTAAATATATTCCTTATATGCGCACACGTCAGTAGCCATAGCAATAAGCTGTTGCTAAGGAGACCCATCACGCCAACACAAAGAGTCGACGTAAAATACAAATCGGCATACGTTGCCTCATTCGTCGTGTTGTCCAAGTCAGAATCGTTGGCCTGGCGAGAGAAATTAAAAGTAAATTATCAAGAAGCCAAGAAAATCCTATGATTGGGCGGCAACAACAACAACAACAACCGCAGCAGCAACAACAACAACAACAAAAGCAACAACAACAACAACAACAACAACAACAACAGCAGTATGAACAACAACAGCAGTAAGAACAGCAGCAGCAACAACAACAACAACCGCAGTATGAACAACAACAACAACCGCAGCAGCAGCAACAACAACAGCAGTATGAACAACAACAGCAGAAAGAACAGCAGCAGCAGCAACAACTGCAACAACAGCAGCAACAATAACAACAACAACAGCAGTAAAAACAACAACAACAATGGCAGTAAGAACAACAGCAGCAGCAGCAACAACAACAGCAACAACAACAACAACAACAGCAGTAAGAACAACAGCAACAACAACAACAACAGCAGCATCAACAACAGCAGCAGCAACAACAACAACAGCAGTAAGAACAACAGCAGCAGTAATAAACAACAACAGCAGCACCAACAACAACGGCAACAACAGCAGCAACAACAAATACCCAACAAACCACAATCAGTTTAAACGAGAGTTTGTCCTTATCAACTTTATTTGAAAAGGGTAAATTTCTACATTGTTGCTGCTAATAGTATTTCTCCCAATGGCCCTTTACATAAGTAGGTTATTAAAATACTAATCATAATAGAGAAAATTATAATATAAACCTTGTTCATCTTGATTTCTGTTTCTATGTCCTCCGCTAACTGCAAGAAAATAAGGGGAGAGTACTTGATGTAATTTGATGCGCAGTTCAACACAGGAAAATACCAGGCATGAAATTGTTCCCAGAATTTAGAATCATTGCAAGTTGCAACTTTAGATTGCGCTGGTCTAACTCGATGTCCGGAACTGAATTTCTAGACATGGTTATATTTTGTTTACACTATACGAAGGGTGATCCATTTCTTGTGTAAATTAGGCTCAGTATTTGCTCGAAACGGAATTGCCTTTGGTTCATAGAAACTATCCAAAAGACATGTCTTATACATGTCCAGAGAGACTCGTTAAAACTAACCTTCAACCAATAGAATTTATGAGAGAAATCTGACCAGCTGCTGATATACAAGTCTAGCGACTTTGGAACAGTCTGCCATTTGTTTAAAAGATGTTCAAATCGAAACTTATTAATTTGTTCAAATCGAAACTTATTCAGTTTATATTGTTCAAATCGAAACTTATTCAAATCGAAACTTATTAATTTGTATCTAACTATAATTAGTTACATATATAGGTTGGATAACATATATTAAGAATGACTGTTGGCAGTATTGACTGGCTTACACCATCAAAGTTTCTGTGATCACAGTAAGAATTTTGCATAGAACACTCTACTCGTGTTTTAAATAGTACTTCAAACACTCATTAATAATTCATAAGCTAATTGCAAATCATGTCGACCATAATATGTCACGTGCAGTGGCTTTAAACCTGATAAAACACTCCTAATTAGTATTCTAATAATTCATGAAGAAAATTCAAAAGAAATGAATGTTTAATCAATGTTTGTAAATCGCATAAAGATTTGTCCTGATTTACATGAACTTCAGCTTTGATCTTCTCGGCTTGGACAATGTTTATTTTTAAAATTACTTCGCCAATGAACTCATAAGATGGATCGTTTTATAAGCACGATAAAACATTCGCATCCGATCTTTATCTGATATACAAACTCTCGCCTTCGGCTTCGGCTCGAGTTTTTATATCAGATAAAGACGGCTGCTGATGTTTTATCTAGTACATGCAAAAGTTCGCCGTCTAAACCAGCCATAATTATAGCTGTGCATCATTCGTGCTGTACAGCAATGCTTCCTACCTTTAAAAAAGCTTATCTTGGTACCAACACTTTAACAACAACAGTAACAATTGCGTATTGTATGAAAGAATCTTGCGCGTTTTAGTATTAATCTAATCCGACCACGACAACAGCAACTGCATTACATTTCACCCGAGGAAAGGAAATTCATCTCAAAGCGTGAAGACAAAACATTTCATCGTCTGAATTGATGTTTTCCTGAATAAGATCAAAACTATTCTTAATGGCGGTCATAAAAAATTTTCTTTTCATTTGTTATTTCGAATAAACTTTTTTGGGGGACAAGTTGGTGTCCCAAAAACCTCCAAAACTATTGAAATAACTTATTGTTGGAGTTTGAATGCCCTAGCACTAAGTTGCACGCAAATATGCGTAAAGTCTTTGCGAATGGTCTTTTCTCAGAATTGTCATTGACCTTTGTGCTCGGCTACTTCAGACAAGAGTTCTAAACTTACCTAAACTAAGCTTCGGTTAATCTGGAATGCT